AATGTAAAGGAGGAACTAAGAATTCAGGGAACTGGAAATGAAATAGTGAGAATATCAGGATTTGCAAATATACTTAAAACACAATATAATGAAAATTCGGATAAAAATTCAGGAATAATCGAGGCTGCAATGTTGTACTTGAGTGCGTTATTTGACCTCTTTTGAAATTGGCATTCTTTTCAATATTTCACTTTCCTTATGCTTTCCTTTCAAATAAAGACAAGCTGCAGTGTATTTAAATGATCAGTAGAACATATTACTATTGCCTCTCCATGATAAATGTTGTCTGGGAGACAGCCTTTAATCAAAGTTATTACTATAATTCTATTCAAAAAATAATTTATTCTACTAAATAAAGCAAATAAGCATGATTTTTAATTAAAATGTTCAATATATTATATTCTGATATACATTTTTGCATTCTATAATTTCAAAGTTTACTTGTGAATATCACCTTTTATTACTCATGATTTGGCTGAGATGAATAATATAAAGTTCTTTCTGCTCTTCTTATGTAGAAAAGTTTAATAAATACCCACCAATCTGAATTAGACACTAGGAAAAGCAGAAATGTTCTTAGACTGTGGAGTAACTGAAACATTCAACTCTGCATTTCCATAATCATTTTCATAAATAAAATTAGACCTTTAAAACAGCACTTCATTACAGATATACACCCCAACCTTACCACCCGTCCAACATTATCTCTCACTGCAGTTTCCTTGAAGCATTGACAATGTACCTTAACTAAATTTAATTGTTAAATTAACTTGTTACCTACTTCCTCACCCTTTCTCTAATTCTCCCTCTCTTCCTCTCTCCCTCTTTCTCTGTCCATTCATCTCTCCTTCTTTCTGACTTCCCTTACTCTCTTTCTGATTATAATATCAATATAAATGGATCAGCCAACCCACAACTCAAACACTCTTGATTTCAGCAGTTATGTGAAAGCATTAAACTCCTGATGGGGGAATGTTGGGGGATGAAGCCAGTATGAAGAAGGAGAGTAACACAGGCCAACACCATTTTACTAAAAGCCTTCAGAAAAACACCGCAGTGAGGAAAAAGAGCAACCCTATTTCACTAATACCTTTTTAGTAGAACCCTCAATTGAGGAGAAGAGCTGGAGCAGAAAAAAGCTACTAATTCTGGAGGGAGAAGACGATTGCAAACCTCATCAGAGAGCTATTTTAATAGCCGGAGAAAAAGGACAGAAATGGGTATTCAGTATCTTCTTTGTGGCAGGAAGTAGCAAGCATGTCTACATGTGTTTAAATGCTTGCATACCTTTATATGCTATTCTTCAACCTTCACAGGGGTTCTACAAAGTAGGTATCATCATCCTTTAACTTTCAATTGTAAAACTACTTGGAGACTTCAATAACTTATTAACATTCCACAAGAAGTAAAGCACAGTAGGAGTGATATCATTGGTGAAATGGTCTCACTTCTCATTGGAAAAGTGATAGGGAATTAATGAGGAAGTATTGACAGTAAAAGGGAAGTATTAACTTCAAGTTAAAATCATGTTATCTTTGAATGCTGAAATATGGGAAGTATAGAATTTCTCATTTCCTCCAGATATTTAGGGTTTAAACTAGAACACATCTTTCTATCCAATTTCAGCTAAAAGGAATAAAGAAGAATTGCACCAAGTATATTCCTTTGGGTGTCCTTTTGAGACAAGCATTTGCATACATTTATCCTTAAAACATGTTTTAAAATTTCAAACATTTCTCAAAAATCACAACTTGAGTAGTTATATCTACTCGGTTATAGTGCATGATATACATAGGATAGATTATAGGTTATTTGTGGCATAACTTTGAAGATCCTGAATAATTCTTTACAATGTTTTTCTTCCCAGTACTTAAAATTCTCCATATATGCACCAATATGTAGTCTATAAGGATATATATAGTTATAAAACCATGGAGAGTAATTCTTGCCTTAATTCGACTGGCTGTAACATTTTCCACAAAACCACTTGCCATATCTGGAGGAAAGCCTCTGAGATGACTGGGGATTTATGAGAAAGGGACTTGTGGGGGAAGGAAGAGTTGCTAATGACGAAGACATTTTCATTCTTCTCAGGACATGTCATTTTACTTCATTTACTAATAGAATGCTGTGGAGTGACACTGCTGGTGACATTATATTTGCATGTTCAGCAAAGCTGAGATTTTCCTACTAGCCAGGGGCACGAAAGTGCAAGTAGAGCATGGATGGACCTGAAGGGTCAGTGGCCATGTCTGCTGTTTACAAGGTGGCAGCCCACCTTCCTACTCCATAATGTTGCCGCTTTATCTTACATGAATAATGTGATTTTTTGTCCTGCCAATCTCTGCATAGCATTACTTATACCACAGGGGCAAAAAAACAATTCTCAATCTAATCTGTTTTGCAAATTTGACAGGGACATCAAAGAGCAGGAATCTGTCTGTGAGAAATGACACTGCTCATTTGTTTAAATGTCAAACTTAAACCTCATCAACTCTTAGGGAACATGTCAGTAAAAATGAATTTCAGTTCAGCTACAGAGGATTTCCAGAGGGTTTCAGTGTCATTCAGTCTTGAGGAAAATAGTTGTCAGTATCTTAGAGCAAAATGCTTTGAGCAAATCTTCTGAAGTTGAGTGAAATTGGGCATTTCAGCACCTGGCGTTATGGACAATGCTCTCTCTTCCTTGCTATTTTCATAAAAGTACTATCTTATTAAATTAAATTAAGAAATTAAATTTCCTTTAAAATTTCTTCTCATTTTTTAGTTGCATATCTCACTGTGATTCAGTGTTTCTTTCTTGACACTAAATGCCAACCTAGCTAACACGTACCCTTGATTCTAGCCAACATGTACTCCTAAAGTATGCAAACCTCTCAATACTATGTACCACACTATGTATCTGGGCAAAGGCAAAAGGGCATAGCAGCAAAGAGGACCAAATTTGGTCATGGAGATTAAGTTGGAAATAAAGACTGGGAAATAGTTTGAATTGTAGCTTTCCCTGGACACAAAGTCCACAATTTTACTGCAATGCAATAATGATCATCTCTGGCGAGGTTCTCATCGTGAATGGCAGAACTACCAGCCCTGTGGCAGTTAACAGCAGTCACAGTGCAGGAGAAAGGGAAGCGCATTTAATGGGCTTGCAGAAAATCAGTGACAAAACACTGTTTTCTAGGTGCTTTCTAACTCTGACATATCAACGAAGAATTTTGGGTCTGAGATCAGAAAGATAGAGCTCTAAGTCATAAATCACACTTTGTAATGTTATTTCATGTCTAGAATCTGCTTATTCTGTCAAAGGTGGCTTATTTTGTGGCTTAAGTGAGAAAGTAACTGTAAAGGGCTCTGACATCAATGTGCATTCAATCCGGGTTGAAGTATTATTAAAAGCTGGTAGAATGAAGAAGAATGTCCTGCTGTGGCCATATGTCTCGATAGACGGATGGATGACAAAAGGGAAAAGAAGAAAGTCGTAATTAATAATAAACCTGTCATTATACTGAGGAGTTCTGACACGCATTTCACTCTCATTGTCCTATCTGCATCTTTCAGGGTGTGTTTACAAAATCACAGGAGAGGAAAAGCAGCTTGAAACATATAACACAAGTGCAAACCAAGTCCTGAGAAAATTGTTCAATCTCTTATGAAATAAGAATCAACCAATTCTGGGCAGGATTCCTGCCAGTCACATGCTAAACTACTCTGCCTGCCGAATGGCTCAGGTACTTCAAATCCTCCCCAGACAGACACACATGAGAGAGAACCGGGGGGGAATCATGCCAGTGCTGAGTTCTTGATGAGTTCTTTATCTTCCCCATTTCAGCACCAATACTTCCTTGCTGGCCCTAAGCCTCTGAGATCTACCCGAACACACCTCCTGCATCTCCCCTTTGTGTCATGGAAAAGCCAGAGCCGCTGTGACAGACCCTCCCTTCTCCTCCTGCGGGTTCCAGTGCTCTCCACACTGCCCCCTGCGTTTCCAGCGTCGCCCGCTCTCCATTCATCCAGGTGCAGGCGTTTCCATTCACAACTCCTGGGGCCTCCCCTGCCTGCCTCCTGTCTCCCTCGCTCCTCCCGGGAGTGGCTGCCCGGGGACCCCGATAACGGCCAGCTCCCGACCCCCGCCCCACCGCAGACACCAGTTAAGAGGTGGGCGCATGGAAACCTGGGTGGACGATTGATTGGAACGGGCTGGCCTTCCACTTGAGCGCATCTTTCGGAAGGAAAAGAGAATCCTCCTGGCTGCAAGAACTGCCGGAGTCGGGGAGGGAGACGGTTCCTGGGGGAGCCTCTGGGTGCCCCAGGGGGTGGATGAATGAAATGACCGAGCGACTGCGTTTCCCCGGTACTTTGCTCCGCCTGGCCCCTCGTCCCCTAGCGGACCACCTCCCTAGGTCACAGCCCACCCGAGCCTGCCCTTCCTCGCCCCCGCCCTCCCCAGACACCTCGGGCGGCCGAGTGCGCTCGCTCTACGCGCTGGCCCTGGACCCCGAGGCTGACCCTGCCCGGGCGCGCCCTGGATGCCCCATCCCCTCCGGGCTGCCAGAACCAACAACTGCGAGGAGTCGGAGGCTTGGTCTGGGGTGTGAAATCAGAAAACTTTTTCCGTTTTTGTGTGAAGCGGAACCCCACGCCGAGAGCTGTGATTCTTCCGTTTGCATCCCGGGGTCTCCAGGACCCCCGAAGTTGGGGCGCCGTGGAGCGCGGGCTGCATCCCGGGGGCCTCCAGGGTCCCAGGAACTGGGGGCGCAGGGGCGTGCGGGCTGCATCCCGGGGTCTCCAGGACCCCGAAGCTGGGGGGCGCGCGGGCTTCACCCCGGGGGTCTGCAGGGCCCCCGAAGGCTCAAAGCTGGGGCGCGCGGGCTGCGTCCCGCGGGTCCGCAGGGTCCCCGTAGCCAAGGCGCAGGGGCGCGCGGGCCGGTGGTCCGCGGGGTCCCCGGGTGTCGGGACCGACCTGCGGGGGCCGGGCCGTCGGGACCCCCGGCGGCACTCACCCAGCACGTTCCCGACGAGGGCCACCACGAACACGATGATGTAGCCGGCGATCAGGACCCACTCGTACTCCTTGGGGTGCAGGTACTCCCTCCACAGGTAGCGCAGGAATTCCTCGTCGTCATAGTCGCTGGGGCTGGCGAAGGGCCCCCGAGTCGCGTTCAGCTCCGCGGCGGATGACCAGTTGAGACAAGGGGGGGAGTCCTCCGAGTCCGGGCCGGACATCACGGGCGTCCGTCCGGGTCAGCGCGGCGCCGCAAGCTCCTCTAGCCCTGCCCCATGGGCAGCGGAACCCGGGTGCCGAGCTGCCGAGCAGAAAATGACGTGAAAAGTTCCCGGACCAATGCCTGGGTGCTCCGCGCCGGGCACCCTCCTGCCGGTGCCAGGGAGACTCCGCGCCGGGCACCCTCCTGCCAGTGCCTTGGAGACTCCGCGCCGCCGGGCACCCTCCTGCCAGGGAGCTTCCGCGCCGGGCACCCTCCTGCCAGGGCCAGGGAGCTTCCGCGCCGGGCACCCTCCTGCCAGGGCCAGGGAGACTCCGCGCCGGGCACCCTCCTGTGCATGCAGCAGCTGGAGGTCCAGACACCGGGCGCTGTAGGCGGCGGCAAGGACACCCCGAGCCGGCTCAGCCCCAGCCCAGAGACTCTCATTCCAGCACTGAGCCTGCAAGCCGTGTGTGTGCAGGGGCGGGGGGATGAGGGCGCAGGGTGCAGACAGGATTTGAACCTGTTTCTTAGTGCGTGAAATCTCCCTCTATCTATCTGCTCCCCCCACCCCGTTCTTCAATGCAGTGTGTGTGTGTGTGTGTGTGTGTTGTGTGTGTGTGTGTGTGTACACGTTTCCTGCGGGGGTTGTGGAGGAATTTCTGGTGCAGATGAAAGGCAAGAGGAGGGGCCCTCACTCTGGGCTCTGAGAAAGTCATTCAGGCTTTGTTGGACTTTGCCCTGTCAGCCTATGCTGAGGTTTTAAGGCAATCTGCACCCCTCCCTACCTGCAAATTAATTAGGGAAGGGGAACACTGTTTTCAACCGAACAATATTTTGCTGGAGGTTTGTTGTTGTTTTGTGTTTGTTTGGGGAAGCCACACCCAGCAGTGCTCAGGGCTTACTCCTGGCTCTGTGCTCAGAGGTCAGTATCAGAACTTACTCCCGGCTCTGTGCTCAGAGGTCAGTCCTGGAGGTGCTCGGGATCATACATGGTGATGGTGTCCATCCTCAAGTCGGCCTCCTATCCACTATTTTTCTGACCCCGTTAGCTGGATTTTGTATTTGCAATCTGTAGAATATGAACTACAGTACATTAAACTTGAAGGGCACTAAGATCCATTAATATAATCTTCTTAATACTGTCAAGAGAAGGACACCTTGCTGCCCTCAGAGGTGTTCATCTGGGTTTCGCACGGGCTGTAGAAGCAGAAGCAACAGTGCCCTCCTCTCCTTCGAGGAACCGACAACCCTGGACAGAACTCCAGAACTGACTACATCTCTGAGAACAGTATTTTGGGGAGTGTTTGGGAAGGCTTAGAGCCTTCCACGGTAATAGAAAGGATCCATTTGATTTATTACAGTCTTGAACTTAGAAAGGTTCTCAGAATCGTCTACCCCCTACTCCAGCTGGATCTTAGAAGCCTCATCATCACAGATTGCCTCACCTGCTTTGGAAACAAAATGCACAATCCACTACAGCCACTGGCCTGCAGAAAGTCGGAAAATTGTTCTGAGGTGTGGAAACCAATATTTGTTCTCAGTAATTCCCCTCTCCCCAACACCTACCCTGAATCTTGCTGCTTCCAGGAATGAAGCACCCACATAACAATCTTTCAGTCAAAAGAACCCCCTACCCCTCAGTCCCACCCTTCCCAAGGTCCCTGTTCTCACTTTCACCCTAATTACTTCCATTGTGTTTTAAATGGCTCCATCTCCACAACCTTCTCTTTCTTGGTCATCCTTAAGTCAATTGTAAATATCTTACATAATATGTAATTACGAGTAGATACAGAAGTCTGAGTTGGGTCTTGCCAGTACAAAATGTATTCTATTCTTTGAATGCAGCCAAGGTTGGGACATAGCAATTTTTTAAATGATTACAAGATGTTACTGATTTATATTGAAACTTTATTCAACAGCCTTTATCTCCAACCTCTAATCATAGTCTTCACAAGTGTTTGCACTTAATTCATGTGCAGCATTCTTACATTACAGATGACTGTTACAAACTGTTACATTACAAACTGTTCCTGAAACAGTCAAGTGACTTATAAATGGTCAAGTGAAAAATCAGGGACAAAATATCAAGTTCCTCTAATCCTAGTCTGGTTTGTCTATTATTCTATGGATGCCAAATTTCATTAGTAATACTATCATTGCATTTTCCCAGTGTGCTCTAGTCAGTTTTTTAATTTGTTTGGTTTTGAGGGCCAAACCTAGCAGTGCTCCAGGGCTGCTCCTGGCAGGGCCAGGGGATGGCATTCTGCCAGAAATCCAACCTTGCTTGCACTCAGTCCGTTGAGCTATCTCTCTGGTACCTAGTTTGTAAAAATGTTTAAGCAGGGCTGGAGCCTTTGCACACAGTAAGTACTTGGGTGTTGATCCCCAGAATCTCATATTATCCTCAGAGTCCAGACTGGAGTGATTCCTGAGCAGTGTTAGGGTGTGACCCCCCAAGGCAAACAAAATTTTTGAGACCCATCAAGGCAGTAGGGTTAAGAGGCTGGCCTTGAAGCTGCTTAGTCTACGTTTTATCCTGCAAAATACGCCCCCCCCCCCACCGAGATGGAGGGTAATTAAGATAGAGGAGGGTCCATTATGACAATACTAGTTGGAAATGATCAGTTTGGACATGAACTGAGTGTTGAAAGCAGGTAAAGGGATGTACATGGTAACCTTTCAGCATTTGTATCACAAACCATAATGCCTAAAATAAGAGAGAGAGAGAGAAAGGGAGAGAGAGAGAGAGAGAGAGAGAGAGAGAGAGAGAGAGAGAGAGAGAGGTGCCTGCCATAGAGGAAGGTTGGGGTGGGGGGTGGCTTGAAGGGGTAGGAGTGAAACGGGACACTGGTCTGGGAAATTATACTGGTGGAGGGATGGGTATTGGAACATTTTATGACCAAAATGCAATCATGAACAATTTTGTAATGCTCCATCTCACGGCGATTTAAAAAAACAGCCCTAAGAATAGAGAATTCATATTCAAAGATAATTTTATCATATTGTCTTTCAGGGCTATCTCGGGGCTGGAGCCATAGAACAGCAGGCAGGGTATTTGTCTTTCACGCGACTGACCTGGGTTCTATTCGGGTTCGATTTCTCTGTCCCTCTCAGCGAGCCCGGCAAGCTACAGAGAGTATCCCACCCACACAGCAGAGCCTGGCAAACTCCCAGTGGCATATTCTATCTGCCAAAAACAGTAATAAGTCTCACAACGGAGACATTACTGGTGCCCGCTCAAGCAAATCGATGAACAATGGGAGGGCAGTGCTAGAGACAGTGCTATCTTTCAGCAAACATAAAAAACTCCAGGCTACTCTTAGTGACATACCATGAATACATACGGAAAATAAAAGCGTGGTTTGAGTGATAGTACAATGAGTAAGACACTTGGCTTGCAGGTATCCAGCCAGGTTTCAATCCCTGGCACCCAGTATGGTTCCTGAGCCCACCAGGAGTGATCCTTGAGCACAGACAGGGTGACCACGGAGGAGGAAAAGCACAAAAAATATATGGGAGGGATAAGAAGTCAAGACTGTGGTGAATACTGGGATGAAATGGTGGTGGAAAGTGGAGAATCCCAAAAGGACACAATAGAAATATGCAAACACCTAATCACCTCTGTGGGAGGTAATTTGTCAGGATGCCCACATGATATATAATTAATTTAATAAAGTTAAATTGAGGATTATGAAGCTCTTAATTAATGCTGATACTGTTAGCCAGACCATTAGCCAGTTCTCTAGACCTCTTCTACATCACTAATTTTGACCAGCAGACCTTTCCTGATTTCATTCAAGTTTACTGGTTACAAATCTTCTAGCTCTGTTTGGGGATATAACGCTTTCCTTGATTTATTATCTACATTGTCTTCTTCCATGTCCTAATTTAAAATGGGAGAGATTATTGCAAGTTTGGTTCCAATATATATTCATTAACCTTACAAAATCCTTGTCATTGGCAATCCATAAATACAATCCAGTTTGCTATTTCCTAAGTATGCAGTGCCACAAGCTTTAATATTTTGGCACTTTAACTGTCTACAGTTCAATAAACTGTTGTTAAGTCTTTACCACAATTAATCTTCACTCTTTACTAAATGTGTTCATAAGAAAAATGCTTATTTTCATGATTTGGTTCTGATATTTGCTTAATGTTGTGACGACTTTAAATTTATCTTGATCCTTCAAGTGTTCCATTTTCTGTCTATGATTTATTTTAAATATGTGGAACTCAAATGCCATAAAAATACACTCAAGTCTTCAAAATTATTTGTATTCTTTTTTGCAAGTACATTACAAAAGATGATAGATATTGCAGTATTCATTTTTAATGTGAACTTTTTTTCCTTAGGTCTTTGGATACCTTTTAGAAAGTTTGAAGAATATTTAGTTCTATAGATATTATTTGTCTTTTTACTTCAATTCTTTCTGCTGTATCTAGAGTCAGCCAAGTATCTCAAGACAGTAAAAAAAACTCTAAATCTTTGATGATCTTGTAATGTTTTATAAGAATTATTATTGTTATAATTATTATTATTTGTTTGAGGGGATCATATCTGGCTTACTTTTGCCTATGTGCTTGGGGATTACTCTGGTACTGTGGGAAATGGAATTGGGATTGGCTACATGCAATGTAATTTCCTCAACCCCAGTTCTACTTGGCCTAGTTGTCACAAGAAGTATGCAATTTCAGAAATTGGTCCTTTGAGAAAGCATGTCTAACAAATTGAAAAGGGTTTTAAAAGTTTGTTAAATACAATAAAAATTATTTGATCCATGTATGTTATTTGATTCATGTATATTATTTGATCCATGCTTGTTAGTTGATCTACATATATTATTTTTATACATATCAATGACTCGGGTCGGCCTTTACCTTTATCAATGACTCATTTTAGCCGATACTATGTGTATGTGCATATTTAATGCAACACAGTAGCCTGAGTAATAAAATAGGAAAATTTAGAACATAAAATTAAGAAGCAGACTTTATTTTTGTCTAGTGAACTTAGGTTGCTCTCATATTTCAAATTGTACAGATCATGGCAGAGTTGATATTGTCATTACTGTTGAGAGACTATTCTTATAAGCAGGCTATAATACTTTTATATATCCATTGCAATGGATACATAAAATCTGAGCATCTAGCATTTGTTCAGTAGTTTAGCTAAGTATATAGATTAATAAAA